AGAGTTGGCTTTGGAGTATGGTCTGACTTTGGATTCTTCTTTCCTTTGGTCTGGATCAATGAAAAACTCTCTCCACTTTCTGTCAGGTCTTGCTGGTACTGGGTGTACCTACGCTGAATTTTCCTTCTTTGTGATCTGGAAATTACGGGGACCATATCTGGTTCCTTCGTTCTTGGGTGTTTCAGCAATACCCAATTGTTGGGGGCTACCAAAGGAGGCTTAACCATCCTACCTTGATTTCCAGCATTCCTTTGGATAGGCACTTCCCTAGGTTTGTTCTGCATCATAAACCAATCTGGACCTCTAGGTACCCACGAACTTACTGACCCAGATGTTGCGTTGCCCTTTTCTTCCTTCGAGGCCACCTTCGAAGCTGGCTGTGAAGGCAATTGCTTGGCCCTGACCCCAAGCTTTGAGCCTGATTCAGGCCTTCGATGAAGGTAATCATTTTCTATCCTCCGTGAGGCTGGTCTAGGGGGCCAATCTCTGGCTTTGATCATAAAACCTGAACTCTTCTCCAGTCTTCTTTCAGAATGACTACTCTCCATTCTGTAATAGTTAGGTGTCCTAGACTCATGTAGGGTCCTCTTGCCTTTAGCATGCAATCTGTCAACTGCAGGCTCAACCACTAATGGCTGTTGTCTAACCTTAGCCGGATACGGCCTTTTATTATAAGCATTGGTTGGTTTGGGATGCCTCTGCGCATCCCTATAATATTGCTTCCCATCGACTGGAAGGCCTTTCAACCACTTATAACTCAGTCTGCACCTGGGACACATCCTCTGCATTATGGCTGCCTCTAGGGAGTCATCATCCAGTGCTTCTTCATCAGAGTCTTCTCTCTGGTGTGAGAAATCTTGTCCAATAGCTGGTAGATTTCTAGTGTCTTTCTCGATTGCTGTCTGGTTGGCCACATGCATCTGTACATTGACTTCTTCCAATTCTTTCAAAGACAGGTTCTGAAAATCTAGCATAATGACATTGGCTGCCACTTCTCCAATTTCTGGAAATGGATTACTGTCGATCCCCATGGCATTTTCAGCTTTGGTTGGGAGTTTCAAACTCCCTTTCCGAATTTGTTCTTGGATCCTGTCTCGAAAAATAACACAGTTTTTAGTCGAGTGAGACCAAGAATTATGCCATTTACAATATACTTTTCCTTTAAGTTCATCAAGAGATGGAATTTTAACCCCTTTTGGTAACTTAAGGAAGTTGGCCGCAAGCAAATGATCAAATGTCATCTGCCCTTAGTTAAATCGAAAGAATACTTCCTGTGGAGATTTTCTTTTTAAAACTGCTGGTCAATTGTCGTATCCTTATGAATTAATGCTTTACAGATCATAGGCTCTTTCCCTACAATCTCTGCTGCACATCAATCTCATAATTAGGATCTTTGTAGTATGTCTTATATGATGCATTATTTCGATCTTGCTCCTCTTCTAGTAATGCTTCATATCTAGATACTTTATAAGTCAGTTCCACTAAGTCTCTGAACTCTGTTGAGTCAAACTTCTTTCGAAGCCTGAACTCTAAGTCATTTTGGGCCAATCTTACGAATTCTGGCTCTGGCAAGATTATTCGACATTTATTTTGAGTCCTTTTAAATCTGGCAATAAACTGAGTAGCCTTCTCTTCAGGCCTTTGACTCAATCTTGCCAAGTCTGCCATGGAAACTTCTGGCTCTGATTGGAAGAATTGGACATGAAACGCCTCTTCCATTTGTTGCCAAGTCTGGATAGAGCCAGGTGGAAGGTTAATGTACCATACAAATGCTCCCCCAGTTAGAGAGTTTGGGAATAGTCTCAACTTCATATAGTCATGATTGGTAAATTCACCACATTGAGCAGCAAACCTAGCAATATGCTCTACTGTTGATTGGTTTCCGTTCCCATAAAAAAAGGATAAAATCTAGTATCCTGAAAACCCTTGGGTATTCATGTACCCTGTCGACCCATTCTGGGTATGGTTTTCTATACACAGGAGTTTGGACCCCCCGAGCCATTGGTCTACACATCTCCCTAACTATATCAGCAATTTGGTCCCTAGGGACCATATTTTGTGCTTGTTGAACCACTACTGGGGGAACAAACACAGGATTTGGTAGACAAACTTGTGCTTGTGGTCCTCTTGGTCCATAGGGTGGTACATTCGAGACTGGTTGTCCCTGTGGTACAAGTTGCTGTTGGGGGTGTGGGTAACCTCTTTGAGCCTGTCCTGCGAAGGGACCTACGAAAGGTGCTGGAACAGGTGTCGTATCCCTTCTATTTGTGAGAAAACCTTCCAACCCCCCGGGTATAAATTCGAATAAGGATTATTGTACCCCCTAGTGCCAGGTATGGCTTCGAACGTGGGATTTGAAACAATTCTTATGTCATTTTCTTGTACTGGGCCAGATCCACGAACTTCCATGGCTTCACTGTTGAACATTGAGGCATTTTGGCCTACTATAGGCCTCGAAATGGGTTCATACCAAGACTGAGGTGGTGGTCTTTCATGACTCTGATTACTAGTTTGACCATTAGAATGTCCATTAACTTGCATAGGCTGTTTATCTCTAACCAATCTTTGCTGAGGGACATTTACTTCCTCCATGTGTCTTGCATTTGTTGGTTGGTGGTTATTCATTCGATCAAAAAAGGATGTTGTCCACCTTTTCATTGTGTTTATTAATTGCTGTCCCATGGCATCTACTAGGCCACCCCATAGATTCACTGGCTGAGTAGATGGGACAGTGGATGGTCCAATTCCTTGGTCTCGTCCAATATTACGAACAAATGGTATTTGTTCTGAAGTACTGGTCTGTTCGACCATAGGTTCCGATAAAATAGGGGTTTCCACAGGATGTGTTATTACATTATCTTCTGGATTAGGTATCTCTACCTCTCCCTCCACGCCTTCTTCCAGGCGTTCAGTTTCTCCTTGTCTCCTACGTCTAGCCATTTTAAATGTGTCCCACTGGGCATGCCAAAAATATATGTTGGCATTTTGGCTTTCGAAAGTTATTTTTGTAATTATGAGCGTGCCAACAAGGATCAATCAGTCCTTACAGAATTTTGATTGCCAACCAATTATCAGACGATTGTGTTGTAGTTCTTTCAGCCTCAATGAAGAGGACTTTTACTGGTGGCTTAATTTAGGAGAATTTAAGCACAAGAACAGTTAAATAAAGAGTAATTGAAGCATTTCATTAGTGTGAAAAACTTACAATGATCCAAACTCAGCCTCGTAGAGATTTACAGCGACAATCTACTTGAAACTACTCTTATGAATGAAGTGCAGTACAGGAATTTAAAGTACAAGAATGTAAAGAACAGGAAATATAAAAACTGGAACGAAATATGTAAAGTAAGACTGGTTTCTTGGATCTGAGTCTGGGGGTTTTTTCTAGGGTCTTCCCTGCTATTTATATTCCTCAAAGATGACCATCGAACTGCACTTCAAACTGTCGAACTGCTCCTCCGTGATCACTGATCACGCTGCCTTACAAGTAGTTCCACTACGCCATCACTTGCAGTTAAGCTTCCCTCCTATATTTGAATTTGAATGTGAATAACTGCTGAAGCCACGTCACCTTGCATCTCTTTGCTGATCCAATGTTACATGGACCACATAATAGACAATATCAACTGTCACGTGTACAATTAGGATCGAAGACTTGAACAGTCTTCCTATATTACTCTTACTCTGTCACGCGTCGAACTGTAATTGATTTTTTATAAAATATGTAGTCAACAAATACAAATATGGCCACGAGAAGAACAAAATAAATAAATAGCCATTAAAGCGAGTAGAGCAAATCAAGGATCAAACACCAAACATCAGACTGAAAAACCTTCGAGATCAAATAGCTAGCAGTCACCTGCAAAACAAAAACACAACCATAATAAAGAGCAAAAGATCAGATATCAATGGCTCAGTTGAACAATTCAAAAGATTGGGTCACTATCAACTTTTTTTTGTTTTTTTGTTGCAGCTTTGAAATGGTTGTTCATCCTCCATGACAACTGTCCAGAGACTGATTTTGAAGGTCTAAACTAACCTCCTCCATTATGAGTCCTTGTCATAGAAACAAGAATCATTCTCAAACTCATTTATAACTCTTAATTAGGCTGCAATCCACAAGCAGATTTGGGGCAGCAAATTCAGGATCTTCGCCAACTGAGACTAGTGTTATGATCTACTTCATATTCCGATGAGTGTGCTGATCATTTAGCTAAGATGGCGTTGGCCTGTCGTCCATATAATCAGGTTCTTCGAGGTGCTCCATCGTCGATCAGTGATCTACTCCGGCAAGATAGTCAGGTTCCGGGTTCAACTAGTTTGTTCTGTGCTCTCAGTGACTTAAACCTCCATTATACCAACCCAAAACAGAAGCAATCCTCAGCACAAGGAGGGGACTAAAGTGGAGAATTCTTACACAGTGGAGAATTCTTATACTGGGGGCAAATGGGGACTAAAGTGAACGAAACAAAATTTGGAAGACATTTATTAATGAAATTTAAATATTTCATTGGTATTCAATTAAAATAGGGATATAATGTCGAAATTGAAAATTTTGGAGACACTTAATTTAATGGAGAAATAACAATTCTGGTGAAGTTTAATTAAATTCATACCGTATTATGTAAAATTAATTTAAGATGTGTTGATTATTTTTAGAAGTTTAAAAATATATTCAGTCTCATTCATATGGACAGGTCAGATTCATCAGTAAATCCATATAATAAAGACTAGAAATTATCATTACCAACGGATGTTTAATTTCCCTTCAATTATGTAAAACTTGTAAACGTTATTTGTTTTAATTTTTAATCACAAAATCAAAAATAAATATCATTTGCTACTTTCCGTCATAAAAGAGAGAATTTTTTTTTAAATTGTGAATTTGAAAAAAACTATTGCCAATCTATATGGTGTAATTATCTCTTCCAGTTTCAGATAAATTTCAGAAAATTTAAGCAAAACGTATCCTTCACACACAAAGCAATGAGACCGAAAAATTCACCCAAAAAAATGCGACCGAAAAGACAATTCCATTTGGCTTTGAACAAACTACCAAAACAAGTTCAAAACCTCCATGTAACTAGAAATTCTGGTACAAATCACAAAAATAACTTGCGAATTTTAAAGACGGGGCAATATCTTTTAAATATTAAAGACACAAAAAAACAAAAAGAAACAACGCAAATAGAAAACCAGCAACTTAGTCCACTTCCTCAATCTTGGGACCGGCACCACTTCCACCAGCAGGAGGACCATCCTCATCCATACCAGCACCACCCATATCACCGCCACCTGCACCCTGGTACATCTTTGCAATGATCGGGTTGCAGATGCTCTCCAATTCCTTCATCTTGTCCTCAAACTCGTCAGCCTCAGCAAGCTGGTTGCTGTCCAACCATTGGATCGCCTGCTCAATTGCATCCTCAATCTTCTTCTTATCAGCAGCAGGGAGCTTCTCACCAATCTTCTCATCCTTGACTGTATTTCTCATGTTGTATGCATAGTTCTCCAAGGTATTCTTTGCCTCAACCTTCTTCTTGTGCTCTTCATCCTCCGACTTGTACTTCTCTGCTTCCTGAACCATCTTCTCAATTTCCTCCTTAGACAGCCTTCCCTTATCATTGGTGATGGTGATCTTGTTCTTCTGGCCGGTGGTCTTGTCCTCAGCAGAGACATTAAGGATACCATTGGCATCAATGTCAAAGCACACTGTAATCTGAGGAACACCCCTAGGAGCTGGGGGAATTCCAGAGAGCTCAAATTTGCCAAGCAAGTTGTTGTCCCTGGTCCTCGTTCTCTCACCTTCATAGACCTGAATTAGCACACCGGGTTGGTTGTCAGAGTAGGTAGAGAAGACCTGCTCTTTCTTTGTGGGGATGGTAGTGTTCCTGGGGATCAACACAGTCATAACACCACCAGCAGTTTCCAAACCAAGGGAAAGTGGGGTAACATCCAACAACAAGAGGTCCTGAACCTTCTCATTACCCTCGCCGCTCAAGATAGCAGCTTGGACAGAAGCACCATAAGCAACAGCCTCGTCAGGGTTGATGCTCTTGCAGAGCTCCTTCCCGTTGAAGAAGTCCTGCAATAGCTGCTGGACCTTGGGAATCCTGGTAGATCCACCAACGAGAACAACATCGTGAACAGTGCTCTTGTCCATCTTAGCGTCTCTCAAACACTTCTCAACTGGTTCCATACACTTTCTGAAGAGATCCATGTTGAGCTCCTCAAATCTGGCACGGGTAATGGGGGAGTAAAAGTCAACACCCTCATAAAGGGAATCAATTTCAATGGTGGTCTGGGCGGTGGATGAGAGAGTCCTCTTCGCTCTTTCACAGGCAGTTCTCAATCTCCTGAGAGCTCTGGGGTTACCGCTGATATCCTTCTTGTTCTTCCTCTTGAACTCCTGGACAAAGTGGTTAACCATTCTATTGTCAAAATCTTCACCTCCCAGATGGGTATCTCCAGCAGTGGCCTTCACCTCAAAGATACCTTCTTCAATGGTAAGAAGGGACACATCAAAAGTACCACCACCAAGATCAAAGATCAAGACATTCTTTTCCCCGACACTGGTTGCCTTCTTGTCAAGACCATAAGCAATGGCAGCAGCAGTAGGTTCATTGATGATACGCATCACGTTGAGACCGGCAATCACACCAGCATCCTTAGTCGCCTGACGTTGAGAATCGTTGAAGTAAGCAGGAACAGTGACCACAGCATTCTTCACAGTGGAACCAAGGTATGCCTCAGCAATTTCACGCATTTTAATTAGAACCATGGAGGAGATCTCCTCAGCTGCAAAGAGCTTCTCCTCACCCTTGTAGTTGACACCAATCATGGGTTTGTCACCAGGGCCAGCAATGACCTTGAAAGGCCACAACTTCATGTCACTCTGTACCGAGGCATCAGTGAACCGCCTACCAATCAACCTCTTTGCATCTGCACAAAATTTATTATTTATTCATGTCAATCAACCAATACATGATTAAGGCTAGTACATTTAATGCAAAACAACTTCATGTTGCATTTACACTACAATGATGCATCATACAAGTAGAGTTTAAAATCCAGAAAGAAAATCAAAATAATTTAAAACAAATACAAGAACATACAGAACTCAAAATTAGACCTTTCACAAGTACAAACAAACTCTATGTTACTTGTACTCGTCATAATAAATCAAATACTCTTGGACAACATATATATTGTTGTATATAATTATTATAAATAAGTAAAATAACTTTTGAATAGTATTTTTCATATAACAGCATTTTATCTTCCGGATAATAAATTAAAAATATAAAAATATAATTTTGTTTACTAGTCCCTTACGGCTAATCATATTCCAAGAAAATCAGGAATAGTTCTAGTAATGTGAAGATATTAGAATCTTTTTAATCCCAGCACTTTTTCGATCAATTGCATCAAGGATTAGTGCGAAAAGGCCAAAAAGTAATACCACTAAAAATAGACAGTCGAATTTAAAATACAAACATCTAATCGAAATCGATGCACAAAGGCTATATGTCTGAAAGTGCTACACGTAACGTAGGTCCATTGTGTGGAAGATTCAAGGCCCCACTAAAGTGTTTTTTTTTTTTTTTTTGGGGGGGATCAAACTAAAGGTAAATATAAAAAAAATAATTATAAATCAATGATAATCTTTACAAATATTAATAATTAATTTTTTTTACAAATTTATAATTATTTCACTAATTTATAATTTCATCAAAAAAAAAAAAGTAAAATCGTGCATATTTAAGAAGCAAAACTGACTAAAAAGCTATTTGCCCAAAAATAGGAAATTTAAATTTAGTTCTTACAGCATCTAGTTAAGATAAATCTAATCAGACATTTATTTTGTAGGTGTAGAACACAGGCACAAAGATCGGATCTAATCTAAACATTTCAAATTGTGGATACTCTTTAATATTTATCGAGATCTGAATAAACAGAATTATTAGAACCGACAAAGTACAACACAGCCATTATATATAGTTTGACCTCTACAATACAAACCAAAAGTAAACAGATTAAAAAAAATTAAAAAAAACTAGATCCAGATTCATATCATTCCAAATTGGATCTGGCATATCATCATAACACTGAGCTATACATCTGACCGAAACAAAAGATGAAAAATTCATAAGATTACTTAGATCTCTGCAACTAACTGTATCATCTAAATGAAGTCAAAATATAACGTACAAGTCATGGATCTAGAAGATCAACGCATATAAATCAAATACTAAGCAGACATAGATCAAAAACATGCTTTAATCAAATCTTATAAACACAGATCTAAAAAATGATTGAGAGAGAGAAAATCGTACCGAAGACGGTGTTGGTGGGGTTCATGGCGACCTGGTTCTTAGCGGCATCGCCGATCAAACGCTCTGTATCGGTGAAGGCTACATAGGACGGCGTCGTTCTGTTGCCTTGGTCGTTGGCGATGATTTCAACACGATCGTGTTGCCAAACTCCGACGCAGGAGTAGGTGGTGCCAAGATCGATTCCGATCGCTGGTCCCTCTCCCTTTCCTGACATCGCTTCAGAGAGAGAGAGAGAGAGAGAGAGAGAAATGTGAGAGAGAGAAATGTGTGAGAAAGAGAGAGAAATGGATGGAGTGAAACTAGGGTTTTGGAATAGCTTAAGAGGCAACGAAAGAAGATGACTTTATAGAAAGTATGCCGCGTTGAGCTTTGTGTTCCAGAATGTTCGAAAACCCTAATGGATTCATGGCCGTGCGATCAGGAAATGAATGGATGGTTTCGGATTGTTTTCCGTACTTTCGGGGAAAAAACCAATGTGAAGCCGACGAAACGTAGGAGACGGGTAGTAGTGGAGAAATTGGAAAAACGCATGTGTGTTTGGGTTGAATTTTTTAAATTAAGGTTTTTAAAAGTTAAATTTTGTTTTTAATTTTTAATTTATATTTATAAAATTTTAAAAAATTATTATAAAAATTTGTTTGATAATTTTTTTAATTTATAAATGATTATCTTAATTTATAAATTTCAAGAAAAAATAAAAATTTAAAAAATAAGTTTACGTTTTCAGTTTTTAATTTATTTTTCAATTAATTTTTTTTAAATAATTTTTTTTTTCAAATAAATTTTTTTCCAATTAATTTTTTTTCAAATATTTTTTTCAATTAATTTTTTTTCCTATTAATTTTTTTTTCAAATAACTTTTTTCTCAATTAATTTTGTTTTCAAATAATTTTTTTTCTAATTAATTTTTTTCAATTAATCTTTTTTTTGAACTAATTTTTTTTTCAATTAATTTTTTTTCAATTATAATGTGTGTAATCCCATTATTGTAAATAATAAAAATAAATATAAATATTTTAAGTCTGAACAAACGTATTTTTTAGTTTATGCTTTTAAAAAAATTTAAAATATTTTATTCAAACTAAACGAGTTTGTAATTGATGTTTTTTTTAAAATAAACAAGTTTGTAATTTATGTTTTTTTTAAAATAAACAAAACCAATTTATAAAAATTTTATAAACATAAACGAAAAACGTAAACATTACCAAACACCACCTAAATTTTTTATTTTTTGTATTTTTTTTGTTTTTAATGAATATTTTAAAAAATTTAAGTATTTTTTTTATTTTTTTAAATGTATCTTACTTAGATATATCTAAAAAGTAAAAAAAATATGAAAAAAATATTTTCAAAAATTAATAAATATATAAAAATATGAAAAATATATTAAATTTTTGTATTTTTTATTTTTAATATTTAGTGAATTTTTATAAGAAAATTCATAAAAATTATACTTTTTATATGTATTTATGTTAGATGTGTTTAAAAATTAAAAAATTACTTAAATTATTAAAAAAATCAATAAAAAAAATACGAAAAATAAAAAAATAATTTTTTTGAAAAACAAAAAACCAGCAAAAGAATATTCAAAATATGGATAAATTACAAACTTAGTGGCTGTTTTTTTTTTTGAAGTAATTTTTTAAAATTTTGGAGACAAACTTAAAAATTTGATATAAATTCAAAAACAATTTATTAAAGACAAAAATAAATTAATTTATAAGTTGAGCGAAAGCACCCTTAAATATAAGGGCAATTTGGGAAGTTAATTTTAGCTTTTAACCCATTTTGAAGGGAAATTCTATTTCCACACAGTACTTCCTCTCTTTTCACGTCTTTTCTTAATACACAAATTAAATAAATTTAAATTATCGACTTTCACTCAATACACATCCTGTCATACCAAAAATACCCTTATTATCTTCATCCTTCAAACCCTAGCCCTAACAAGCCACCACTGTTGTTGCCGCCGCCAGCAGCACATCTTCCCCTCCCTTTCACTTCTAGTTGTTACCCTTCCAGTCGTTGCCCCACCCTTCCCTCCACCCGTCGATGCCACTTCCGTAACCTCCATTGCCGAAATTGATCACTGAAATAAGATGTTCAGTTTCTCTTTGCTAGAGGGAACATGGTAGATTTAATGTTTGTAATTTCAGCAATGTAATTACATATGATTGTTGGTGATATATTTTTCTCCGTTAAAAAGTTTTATTTAGAGTTTGTATTTGCAGTGATCCAAATTGCTGAGTGGAAGTTACAGAAAACCATTGTTTGGCCAATTATATTGCAAGATGATGATTATATATATATTTATTTAAGGAAAATATTTTTTGTTCTTGTGCTTTTTGTTTTGTTTTTTTTTTTTTTTTTTTTTTGAAAACATGGGAAACAATTATATTAATAAACAAAAACATACATAGGCCATTCTAATCAAACAACAAAATGGAGAAGGAAAAAAAAATCAAAAAATTAGTTATGATGTCGAAAAAATTACTGATGTTCTTTATATTAATTGAGAATTCATCCCCAAACTTGTTCTCTGTTTTTGATATAGAGAGTTAGAGTTAGGGTTTTGGGAGAAGGACATTTTGGTAATTTAATTTTAAGACAAAAATGTAATAAAAAAAATCATTAAGTGTGTGGAAAGGGAGAAACTAGTGTGTGGAAATAGAATTATCCCATTTTGAATAATACTATTTCTCACATTTTTTACACAAAATGACACAAAAATCCAAAAAAAGTCAAAATAATCAACTTTTAACCAATTTCTTAAATCAACCCAAAATAAGTGTCACTAAGCTAACTAAACTAAACCAAAACAAGCATTAAAGTCTCATCAAATAGGATCAACTTTATGAATTATTATTCTCTACTCAATTCTATTCACGGCCATTTGGTTAGTCAAATTAAGGAGATTCATATTTTTATTTATTACATTAGCCCACGTCAATCTATGTCTGCCATTTTTTCTAACATTTCCATCTACCATCACTGTATTGCATCTCTTCACTACTGCCTTTGTTAGTCTCCGTTGTATATGACCAAACAATCTTAATCTATTCTCTCTCAACTTATCTTTTATCAGCATTACGCCTATCCATTCACGAATATACTCATTCCTAACTCTGTCTTTTCTAATCTTGTCACATATCCATCTTGGCATCCTTATCTCAACAACGCTCATCTTATCTACATGTTGTTTCTTAATTATCCAACATTCTGTCTCATATAATATCGCTAGTCTAATAGTCATTCTATAGAACTTTCCTTTTAGCCTTTGTTTGGGATGTGGATTGACTTTTTAGCTTTTTGACTATTTTAGCCTGGAGCTAAAAAGTCTCGTTTGGAATAAACTTTTTGGCTTTTTTGACTTTTGTGAGAGAAAAATGAAATGATTATAGTTTAGATAGGATACTTTTGGGCAATTTGAGAAGTTGGTAAAAAGTCAACTTTTTAGTTTTTAAACTTTTTTACACAAAAAAAGTCAGCTTTTTTAGCAAAAAAGCCAAAAAAATCAACTTTTTATGAACTTCCCAAAATACCATTTTGTCTTATTTATTTTTTAACTTATTTTGTCCTTTTGTGGCTATTTTAGCCTAGGCTTTTTAGCCTATTTTGTCCTTTAGTCTAGTAGGTACTCGTTTATCTGAAAGTATTCCAGACGCACTTCTCCACTTAAGTCACCCTGCCTTAATTCTATGAACCATATCCCTTCCAATCTCCTCAGTCGTTGCGATAATCCATCCTAAATAACGAAAATGTTCACTCTTAGGTAGTTCTTAATTCTCAATATTCGCTTCTCCTCTCTCCTCTACTTCCAGTATTACTATTACTAAAATATAATAAGCGTCACTAATTTGATAAAATTATACTAATTAATTGTTGACACACACGATATGTATACAATTCAAATAATAAAAAATATAATAAAATATTTATTATATGATAAGAGTCTTCTTTAGCAAACAAAAAATTTGATATTCGAATTTCATGTCCCTCTTCCTTTATCTATTTTTTTTTTTTTTTTAAATTTTTGAATGAAGAAATAGACACTCTTTTTTTACTAGATAAATGGACATTTTGCATAAATGGAGAAATAGACAGTTGACAACGAATGCAATTCAAATGTAAGTAAATATAGAAAAAAATATTTATTACATATTGTGTATCAATGAAGTGATAAGTGCCTTATTTAGCAAATAAAAAGTTTGATGTTTAAGTCTTATGCCCCTCATTTTTTCATTCTTATTTATTTATTTATTTTTTTGAATGGAAAAATAGACACTTTGTGACGACCCAAACCCGGTACCCAGAGCTTTGGCGTTGTAACAAAACAATAACTGAAGTCAGAATAAATTGATAGTGTAGCGAAATAAAATAAAAGGGTACCCAAATCTTTATGTAATTATAACAAAAACATATACATTGGAGCTTCTATTCATTTACATTGCCAGAGCTGAACTATAACTACAAAGTGCCTGTGCCTACCCGAAGCACTGGTCCTAATACGTCACCTGAAAGTGGTTAACAACTATAAGCACATTACAGAGTGAGAAATATTATACTAAGAGTATAAGGGTATAAAATCACCATGGCAAATTATTTGGCTAAGTAGAGATTTGTTTGGTAATAGAAATACATAAATCATTTTAAATAACAGAAACATAACGTAGAAATCATATAAGCAAATAATCATAACCACGATAGAGAACAGAACAGAATAGGTGTATGGACTCAAGAGGTGGCTCGTACGAATTCTAGATGTGGCTCCTACAATAGTGTAGTACTTAGCTCCGCATAACAATTTACTCCACACCAGAAATCAGAGGGTCAGTGCATCCATGACAAACAAAGGGTCACATAAAGTGACAATTCAGAGGGCCAATGGTTATTTAAGTACCCCGAGACATGAGACTTCCGTGGTGGTACTTACAAAATAATTATGCAAAACACAGTTAATAAACAATTATATCTATGAGTTTTCCTTTATAAGAAAATATGGTTCATGTAACAAATAATAGACTTTTAAAAACTAAGAAAATTTACCTATAAATCTCATCTTCAAGAATAGTGATCCGTTTAGTCCCAAGAGTTTTCTTATAGACTAATTAGTCCCGTTGATTTTGAAAATGAAGTTTTAATATATTATTTAGAAATTAAATTTACGGTTACACCCTTATTTCTATTATGTTTTCTTTTCGTTTTTTATTCCTTTCTTTTTATGCTAGAAAGATAAGATACACAATTTATAGCAATCAAATTTGGAATTAATTTTTATATGGGAATCTTTTTTATTTGGAATGACTTGAAATGTGAGATTTGTCAAA